CTACACAAGCATAGCGAGTGTATAAAATTTAAGGGCCAAGGGAAATAATATATGTGATGCTCGCGCCTCGTGAAATTATTTCAGGTCAGTGGGCGTTGAAATTCATCGAATCACGTGGCTGCTGCTATCCTCGTCTGAGACGGCAAGGAAAGTCGTCATTCTTTAGATCTCGGACTCTTGTGGATGAATTAATTTGACAAACCCCGTGGATGCGAGTAAGAGAAACAGCATGAGTTCCGGCGCTCTCAAGCGCATGTAGTGCTTTCGGAAACAGAGTAAGGTCCTCCAGACTTCAGGGACAGAGACTAAGGCCGGTGCGGAGGGCCTCGAAACTATCAAGATTGTCCCAGCCGATTAACCTGTAGGGGCTTCGTGGACCCTCCGAAAAATGGTAAGCTTCATGGGCCCAATAGGGACGGCATCTTAATGATCAAGGGTGCCGCGGCAGGTCAACAATATATATATATATATATATATATATATATATATATATATATGTATTTGAATAATATATATATATACATATATATATATATATATATATATATATATCATATTATATAATTATATATATATATATATAATATATATATATACTATATATATATATATATATATATCCCTTCAACAGCATAGGGTCCTCCGAGTAAACGGTGAATGAAAAGAGCCCGTGGAGAGCCCCTGATTGGTCAAGAATGTCCGTCACGTTAGCATATAGGGCCCCGACAACAACGTAGGGCCCTATTAGCAACTGCAAGATGAAGAACAACGTGGAAAGCTGTTTGTGATCGGATTGCCCCGGCAGGTTGACATATAGGATCTCCGTCCAACAACGTTGGGCCTCTGGGTAACGTAATTGAGCCCTAAACGTCCCACAACCACCACTCCCTCAATCAGCGAAGAGCTATCTGTTCTTCTCAAGGGCCTTTCTCGCTTGTTGCCCTTCCTGGTCGCGGGCAGGTCCAAAGACGTACATTTTTGCGTGTTGTGGTTAAAAAAAACTTGCTTCCGTTCAGCCGGTTATAGCGTTATCGGGCCCAAGGGGGAAGGGGGGAGGGGTCATTGGTCTCGCACCCCTTTCTCTGGATCCGCCACTGGTTTGAAACAAAATTATGTTTAGCCCGTACGCGACCGTCTACCACATTTCAAGTTATTTGGTACGAAGCTACGTAAGTGACGAGTTAATCGCAGTCGTTCGAGCTGGTTCGCAGTTGGGGGACAGCGCGAAAAAATGAGCCCGAGACAAAGCACCGCACAGTGATGACTCGCTCCCGAGATGGCCGCACGCACCTGGTCGGTAAAGTTCGCGGGTCCACGCCCAGGTGATAAGCCACGCCCCGTCACCTGTGGCACGTGTCTCATCACGGACAGTTGGCAGGATTTTAAGTTGGCGCCGCTCTGCTGCGCTGAGGGCCTCCTCTCGATGACTGCACGTAGGAAGCCTCGGTGTCCACACAGACCGCGCGTGCCGTGACCGGCAGCAGCCCGCTTTCCCGGCCACCAGTGGTACCACCTCGCCGCGCTGGTGACGCTGACCCCAGAGAGGCCGGCCGGGGGCCGCCGCTGAGGGGAGCAACTGGCTGCCGGGCCGACCGCCACAGACGCCCCGTCAGTTGGGCTACATCTGTGGGTCTGGTTTTTCAAGTGTCGCGACCATCCGGCAGCCACTTGTCGGCACAACAGGTACCGTACCCTCATGTCGGACTACCAATTACTCCGACCTGCAAATCGTCAACTTGGGACACCCCTGGCGCGGGTCACACGCCCTGGGGTGTGCAAGTGTTGGCGGAACACCAAGTGTTCGGGGGCGACCTGTTCCCCTGGCGCAGTTGTGGACGCCAGAGAGCTGTGTCACGGCGCAGGCCGCCGCCTGGACCCGGGACGCGCCACAGTTTGCGCTCTGTCGTCCCCCCAGCTGTCCCGCCGGCGCGTGCAGACGAAGCCGCCGATATGCACCTGACCTGAGTTTGTCCCTCGCACGGCTGTTCGCTGGGGGAAGACTCCTCATGCCTCATGCCTCATGCCAATGCCTGGGGCTTTCTCCACAGAGCTGGTTCTGTCGCAGTGTGACAATTGCGCGTCGCAAAAACGCCACCGCCGCACTACGAGTGGAACCAACTGCCATATCGCCAACTGATGAGACTGATTCCATGAGGAAATGATGGTTGCAATCATCGATGTTAGTGTGTGCATACCATGTGCTCTGTTATCCAGTAGTCTGGTGGCCAGATTTATGTCAATTTAAGCGTTGTCTGCTGTGCGCGTTCGAAAAATCCTACGCAGACATTCTGATTGTAAGACTTTGGCTGTAAGACATTCTGATTGTAAGACTCTGGCTGTAAGACAGCCTGATTGTAAGACTCTGGCTGTAAGACAGCCTGATTGTAAGACTCTGGCCGCAAGACAGCCTGATTGTAAGACTCTGGCTGTAAGACCTTCCGATTGCAAGCCCTGTCCTGAACGGACAGCTATGCATTGAAGGTGTTGAACAGATATGTAAAATACTAAGCCAAGCTCCAACTCGCCCTAACACAGACTCGAGTGTTACAGGTAGAGGGTTTTATGGGTTGGGCAAGCCCATGAATACCCTCGTGCAGGCTTGGGAACATTGCGAGCGTGGGTATGAGTATTGACGATACGTTTACCTAATGTCGGATATAAACTTCGGAGAAACGTTACACAACGACGCTGCCTGTGCTCCTTTAGTCACAATTGCTTCCATTCACGCTACTTTTCGGATCATCAGAGAAAGGAGTGAATGCGGGTGTAGATTCCTTAAACGCTTCCGTCCTATGGGACTAAGGTGATGGAAAAATACCACGGGCGGGTAAAGCATTGGTAGAGCTGGTTAGGAATAGCTAACGGGTAGGCATGGGCTTCAAGTAAAGTAAATTGATTTATTTTACAACTCAATCGGTCTCGGAGTTGTACTTGACAACCATGAACTCTGACACGGGCTCAGACGTAACACTACGTGGGTATAAATCAGGCTGCGCCTGAAAGATTTCTGAACGCAGCAGCCGCGCTTAACTGATGACCATTTAAGCTTCTCCCAATCCCTTACACTCTGAGACGAAACTGCCTGTGTCCCGTGTCAACGCATAATGCACCGATGAACTCCGACATCAGGCTGTAGAACTAGGCTATGGATACGGACTCTGCTCCGACTCACTATCTAAGAAGTCAAACTCAGCCTCGTGCCTATGAGTCTTGGACACTGCTGGATTCAGAGCCAGGCTCCGGATGATGTAATGCGCCGATGGTGAGGTTGGATCGAGCTCATTTTTGGGGGCCAGATCCACAACTGTTGGACACCAAGACCACTTTGAGGTTATGGGTGCCTTCTGTCAACAAGAGGCCTCCACAAGTAATGCTTTCTATACCCTCTCCACCCACCATGTATTAGGCTGCGCCCACACCTACCATGGCCCGTTCTTAGCCAGTTCTATCCACCCGTTACTGAGTCATTTGTATTTTCCAGCGCTTTAAATCTACATTATGAAAGAGCACCAGGAAGATTTACAGACAAACAGATCATTGTCCCTTGATACAGTTGCAAACGTCGTGTGAGTGTAGCTAAAGTGATTAAGTGATGCGCAAACAGTACCAGTACGTCATGTCTTTCTTTGGAGTCTCTACCATACATCTCATTGACGTTAGCAGAAGCTTTCACCGAGGCTACATCTTCCCCTTGAAATTTGAACGGCATTCCATAGATCCTTTCGTATTCTGAGGTCATTCAGACTCCTATCATCAATGTTATTCACTATTATTATGCATTATTATTGTATTACTACATTATTACAATTTTAATCACTATTATACCATCACAATTTATATCACCATCTTGGCAGTAGAATGAAATTCGATGATATGGAACAACGTTTATGCCGATGGGGTTTTTCTGCGATCTCATGAGCCAATTATGTTTAAGTCTCAATATTCCTGTTTTCCCTGTACATCTATCGCCGAATGGACCTCGCGCACAACAATGATTCGCATGCATATTCGGGTTAGAGACACTCGTGATTTGCAGGAGAATGGGACAAAGACCCTTGCCCCTTCGCTTAGATGCGCCTATGCTTGTTATCTAAAAGAGCGATGTTCCCTCAAATCTCAGTAACCAAGGGAAGGCGCTGGCAACCACACTTACAAGCAAACCTACACACAGCCTTCGGGAACGTCGCCAAAAAACTAGATGTGGTCATTTTAAGATGCTTCTGAAGGCATATTTACCTGTTCCCGTGATAGCAATAAGGACTGCTCACGTGGCTAAATTCAGCCCAAGTGCGTGAGCCATATCAGTTAAGCTCCAGGCCTGCGTGCCTCTGTCAAAATGTGGTAATTTGCAAGCCTTCTAAAGCCGTATCACATCTCGCAGATGACGTCCTCCCAGTCTCCGTCCCGGGAGGTGCCGGCCGTATCGTGCTCGGCGCCCTCGCCGGCGGCCGTGGAGAACGGCAGCACCGTAGCCAAGACATCCTGGATCTCGGCTGACGGTCGACCCGACCTGGTGACCGGACGGCTGCCCCAGGCGGACCAGGAGACCGACTCTGCACCGCTGGGTCGGCAGCAGCCGCGAGTCCCCATCGACGGCGAGGCGGTCCGGCTGGTCGCCGAGCCGAGCACCAGCATCCCTGCCGCTGCGCCTGAGGTGTCCGTCAAGGAAGAGTCGTCGGACCTGACCGAATCGGTCGCCCCGGCACCGCCCAGCCGCCTGGAGGCGGTCCCCACCGACACGTTGGTCGTGCCGGGCGAGTTTCACAACGACGAGCTGATGCGTGAGCACGCGGTGCCCTACTACGGCGCCGTTTACGACGAGCCGAGCTACACCGATCTCGATTCCAGCAAGGCCTACGACCGGCCGGCCGACGGCTACTATGCGCCGCCGCCGCCACCGTCCGGCTACCAGCAGCCGTTCGTGCCGATGCCGGACGCGTACGCCGGCTACCCAACGCCATCGCTCGGCTACCTGGAGTCGCCGCTGGTACAAGCCGGCTTCGCGGGTGCGCCACAGGGTCTGGCCGTCTCCTCCGCGCTGGTGGCGCAGCCGGTTCGCACCAGGCGTTCGGCACCGCATACGGAGGAGCCAGGCAACAAGGCGTCTAAAAACAGGGGCTGGAGAGGCAGCTCTATGAGTGAGTCAGGTGGGCCAACACTTCGGCTGGGCTTCAGCCCCGCGTCAGCACGCGCGAGATTGTTGTGTGCACTGGTGTGCTGCTCTGTCTTGTTGAAATCGTTGCCGAGTTTGATGCTACCGGTGAACGCATGCTTACTTTCTCCACGCAATGATATGCCTCAAACTGCCGCCACTGCGTCAGGGCACTCTTAAATATGTTGAGTGGCCGTTGAATTGTGATCCAAGCGTCTGTATGAGCTGAACACCTTAAAAAATTAATAACAAAACTTGAGGATCGCTAGCGAGACTTCTCACCCTTTCTTCCTCCTCGCAATTGAAACAGAACATGGACTGCTCTAAGATCGATATCTTCGCCTACACAAACCAGGGACATTGAAGCCTTTCCTCATGACGAGGCATTAAGCGCAATTGCTAGAATAGCCTTTTCTTTTTCGAAGGCTCAAACCCAGAATGCCTGAAATGCACTGGTAACAGGAGCTCTGTCATGAGCCAAGCGCCTGAGGCGATGGAGAATGTTAGACTCGGGGAACATGAGGCCATCCTTTCCATGCAATGCCCGTAGGCGTAATGCCAAATCGCGCGAATGTGTGGGCTCGTCCCGTCCCTCAGCTGTACCGGTGGGTGCGAGACGCGACTGGCGGCCGGGCCTACGCAGCGGCGGCGGCGGCGGCGGCCGCGGCCGAGGTGTCGGCTGCCTGTCGCGCCCGGCACCCTCGACAGCCGGCGCACAGATCGCCATATGTGACGGAAACATGTGTTTGTCTGCATGTGTGCCGCGCCTGGGCCGGCTCAATCAGTTAACAGTCGGCTCTCAAATCGGACGCTGGCCCGGCCGTCGGTTTCTCAGGTCCTCCTCCGCTGCCGCAGCCCCGCCGCCGTGATGACCGTGGTCGGCCTTTCAGACTATAAGAAGACCGCGTGCGATCGCGAGAGAACGCGCATGCGCGACATGAACAAGGCGTTCGAAGCGCTGCGAGAGCGGATTCCGTACTGCAAGCCGCCCGGGAAGAAGCTGTCCAAAATCGAGTGCTTACGGTGAGTGTGACTGCATTCTGGGCTCGACCTGAATGCTGGGACTCGAGCGCTACAGCACAATATTGATTTTTGTCCGGGCAGAACACTTGTGGCCCGTTGTTCGCCGTGGCGGCGTATCGATCTGCCTCGCTGCCAAGATCGGATGATACGGAGAGGTGACGCTCCTTTGAAAGGTGTACCATACACTGCGCTGTTCCATTCCAGAAAGACACGTATCTCACATCATATCAGGCTATAGGTGGAAAGACGATTATTTCAACCGAGAATGGTCTATCAGCTCTGCTGGCTAAAACAAGTGTTCGGCAGTATAAAACTGACAAATCCAGGTTTGCTGGAATGTGTTATAGTTGTGTCTTAATGCATCTGCCGGATGATCTACTTCTCTCAGCAGCTTGTTATTCACGAGACTGTTAAAAACGATAGAGGCTTTACCGTTCTTCGGGTTATGTCCTCGTGTGCATCCTTACCTGGCATAGAGAGAGAGAGAGAGAGAGAGAGAGAGAGAGAGAGAGAGAGAGGAGAGAGAGAGAGAGAGAGAGAGAGAGAGAGAGAGAGAGAGAGAGAGAGAGAGAGAGAGAGAGAGAGAGGGAGAGAGAGAGAGAGAGAGAGAGGGAGAGAAAGAGAGAGAAAGAGAAAGAGAGAGCGAGAGAGAGGGAGAGAGCGAGGGAGGGAGAAAAAGAGAGAGCTAACTGACAAAACTCGAAATGGAAAACCGATGATATACCTGCCTCCAATCACTCTCTACAACTCTGGAGTGCTATCGCTTCATTCGCCGCATCCCTTGGAAGGTTTCTAGGCATCCAAACGTACCAGGAGCGTCGGGCGCCGTAAAAATAATTTGCGTGGACGTTTCGGACCGAAGGCATTTGCATACCCTTCCTGCCGGCATCAGCGTATGCGTTAATCGGATTAGCGTTAACTACGTGCAACTTGTCGCTGTAGTTAGGATTAGAGCAGACCTGAGAAAGTCCATGTGAATAAGCTCTTTTCCCTGGTTTTTCAGTGAGCCAAATTCGGTTGCTCCCGGATGTGAACCACTTCCCTCTCAAAGTTAGGTAGATCTGAAATCCCCCCCCCCCCCCTCAAGTGAGTAGGAAACTGCACCCTTGAACTGACCGCAGTTACAGCTCTTCATCCTGCGTGAGACGGCATCGCTCTTGTCTACACAAACGCCGCAGTGATGTTTGTCACAGCAATTAATTCAAATCGCATTTCCTGTATCCTGTAGAGTATCCTGATGTATAAGCGAGCTGTCCTTTGCACAACATCCTTTGTAGACAATCCACATCACGCTGATACGTCTGCTTCACCCATATTGTGACCCCTGTCTGCTGACCCGTCTGCTTCACCCATATTGTGACCCCTGTCAGCTGACCCGCCAGCTACACGCCTATGGTCACCCCTGTCTGCTGACCCGTCTGCTTCACTCATATTATGACCCCTGTCTGCTGACCCGCCTGGTTCACCCAAATGGTGACCCCGTCTCTGTTTTGCGACAGGCTGACAATCCGCTACATCCGGCATCTGCAGAACGTGATGCGGATGTCGGAGGGCCTGCCGGTGTCGCAGTACGACCCGCCGCCCTACACTACGCCCACCCCCTGGATCTCGTCGTACTCGTGCGTCACCACGCCCACGGGCGTGTACACCGAGCCGGTCAGCTCATACGGCGTGCCGCCGCCTGCCGCCGAGGAGCACTACGAGCCGCACAGCTTCCCCGGCGCCACCGAGTACTGGGCGGGCGGCTACCAGCCCGGCTATTGACCTCAGGTCATAGGCAGCGTCAGGCATAGGGCGACCTAGGGCGCCGCGCGCGCGCCAGCCGGGGGACGTTCTCTAGCTACAGACGGGTAAGAGATCTGATGCTGGCCTCGGATCGTCAGACAGGCATGGGCAGGTCTCTTGACCGGACAGACCAAGTGACGACCTGAGGTCAGCGGGCAGGTCATGGGCAGGCCTCTGCACAGAGGCAGACCAAGTGATGGCCGTGGGTCGCGAGCGGAAGGGACGGAGGGATCTGATGACCAGGGTATTGACATAAGGCCACGGGCTGGTACCTATAATCATATGCTGTCCGCCGCAACCGCATCACCGTCGGGAGTGCTGACCAGAGACTGCGAGATGGTCCGGGAATGAAAATTTGTCCCAGTGCCGCGGGCCATTGGCACCGCCGCTGATCATACAAGATTCTCTGCTAACGGGAGGGCAATGCGATCTCTCTCATTCAAGCTAACCCCTCGGGGTATGAGATCCTGGCGAGAATGACGGCACGACACAAAATGACAATTTTTTTCGCCAGCCAGTGGCCATTGCTTGTGATCACCGGTTTGGCAGTACTATCCTCGATTTGTGACAGCAGCTCTCTCAGCCATCGCCTTCACAATGGAGCCGTGCCTTGCCTCTGGTTGCGTGACAACAAACGTGTGGCATATGAGGCTTGAATTTTTGTTTAGTGCTTATTACCTGATAAACGTCTAGTCTCTGTAATATGCTAGTCATTCATCGCTAGTCGTGGCAATTTGCAATTTATTTTGATACAAGTGCAATGTAATGTGTGCTGCGATGGGGTTATTTCTACAGCGTTGTTTAACATGCTTGCCGCTGATCCGAGCGCATGGTGAACACCTAGTTTTTGGATTTTTTTCGCACCGATTATTCCCTTATGGTACCCTCTGCCCTCTTTGTCGTGCCATTATCCATCTGGTTGTTTAATGCATGCAAGCAAACAATAATAAGTGCACCAGTTGAATGTCATTCATTTCATGCATCTTAACAGTAACCTTAGAAGAACGCCGTTTCGCCTAATGCGGGACACTGTTGGTAACATTTGACAAGTACAAAAACAAACAAATTGGATCTCAGAAAGCGACTTTTATTCTTTGAGAAGGCTGGCAGGCCCAACAAAACAATTACAGTGATGGTCGACAGTTGTCAAAAACGATCGGCGTGTGAAGAAAAAAGGCAATGTCCAGGAACAGATCTCCCATGCTAAACGGCTGCGTTTGTGCTGCTTCGGGATTGTTTCTTGTCCAGTCCACCACATTGTACGTTCATCTACTCTATGTGCTACTTGCATCATCCACACTGGCCCATGCTGCGGGTCTTAACGTGTTTTCCTCGCGTACTCGGACGACCAGTGGACTTTGCGTGAAATTACAACACACGATGTGTGTGTGAAGTCGCGAGATATGCAACAATGTTCAATCCATAGCGTGCATGGTGGATACCAGTGCCTTATAAGAGTGCCGGTATGCTAAAGTTACCTTCCGAATGTTTGAATTGTTTGCATCGCGAGCGACATCGTGGGTATTCTCTCAGCATGGTTGAGCGTGAAGAGCACGGCGTTGCAAACGTACACAGCGAATGCTCAATACTAAGCGCAGTTTCGCAAAAGCATGATTTTATGCAGCACGTCCCGGATAATGCCCGGACTACCGCGATATTCATGTTTTCAATGATTGTATGAACTGTATGTGGTGAACTGGCGGTCATATCGATGCGGCATTCCAGTACGTTAGATGAGTCCTCTGCGCATTCCGCCCTCCGGCCGCCGGCACAGGCATGGCAGGACCGGCCGGACCGCACTCGGCACGTGTGGGCGTGTGGTATAGGAACGTTAGTGTGACAGCTGAGTGCGGGCAGCGCCTCACCCGTGTTGTGCGTGCGGAAACTGATGAGCGTGCGGAGGTGGAAGCTCACTCCAGCTGAACCCATCTAGTCCATTCTAGTCGACAGTGTAAAATATATGTGAAACCCATCAGCGAGTTTTGCTGCATGCGTCGAGATGTCGGAGGGGTTGGAAAGAACCACCGAGGCGAGCACCCGTTGGGTAGGACGTGGGGCTTACCCAGTCCGGTGTTAGTCCGGCAGGTGGGAAATTAAACCTTATGGGGGATGGTGTCGGTTCGGTGAGTGGGTGATGAGACTTGCTGGGGACGGTCTCGGCCCGGTGGTAGTAGCGACGGCGCCGCGAAATTATGGATGGGAGGCAGATCTTTGCTTTTATGGGACATCCGCCAGATAAGGGTGCTTTGCAAGACACCGGAAGCCGATCTCTGCGTAACGACCCTTGACCCATCAAATGTCAAACCATTGGTACTTTTGCGACGCGTGTTCTCGCGTACACTTTTTGTGAAGCGCGGGGGCTGTGCTGCAAGCTGGAGCGTAGGCATTGACAGACCATCATTCATGACGAGTTCACACCGTAAAGGAACCTCATCAAGCTTACAGTTGCATAGCAGCTTTGATTTCTACTGTAACTGCTATGTTTACATACACATGAGCACGCATTCACCCTTATTGTAGCGGTATTGACTATCTTAGTCCTATTCTCTTACGCAGAAGAGTATTTGCCAGTTTTATAAACCACATCTGAGACAGAATTTTCGGCAATCGATATGGAAACATATACAAGGATGTGTCGGATCCTACGATTGCAGTGCAATGCTGGAGTTTGATTGCGACAGATGTGTGTAGTCATTGACATTGGTGGAGGTACCATTGCAGAGAAGCACAAAAAGGACAGCGTCGCCTTCACTCGCGTACGTGTGGCGAAGGCCCAGACAGTGCAGCACAATGGGGCTGTAGGCCGATTTCGCCTATCTGATCGTCCCCCGCCGCACAACCTTTGGTTGTTCCCACGCAAGCCCGGCCGACTCTACGCGCACAAACACGAATTACCTGATTGTATACTGTACAGGTCAGATGAAGCGTACCGACAGTCACGCAAGCAAAACCCAGTGAGGCTAGCACATGGGTACAATATATTGCAGTGTTTGTCGGTTGAAGCACTGCAACACGTTGGAGATGATTGGGGCCCGAAGAACAAGATGCACACGCTGTGGATGAATTACAGGCCTAAAATACTAGTTATACGTGGCATTTAGATGCTATTTAAATGCAAATATGTCGTTACGTACATGATTGCCGCATCAAGCGGTCGCATTATGAACGTTATACAAGGTGCCATCGAAACAGATTGGACCTCAGTAATGTTAGCCGTCTGATTAAGCCCCTGTATTTAGTTCTACAAAGCATTCAAGTTCGTCCCTGCCAGGCTGTCCCCCCCCCCCCCCTCCTTGGAACTATCAGCTCTCAGTCACGGCGAAGACAGTCCTGGTTATGAAAGGAACAAGTTGGATGCGTTCAATGGTTATTCTAGTTTGTAGAGATCGTTTCACATTTAAGGCTATTGAAGTAAACATCGGACACGTTGAAACAAGCTCAATTATAACTATTGACATAGTTTTAACTATAAAGGGCTCCTCCAAACAACACAAATTCCTCTGTTCAGTAAATATCCTCTTCGATACGTCATTGTCTGATTATGTTATCGTACCGCACAACATTGATTGAGAGCCATTTGATGGCTGTTATATCTGAAAATTGTGCTTACGAGCGCCAGATATGAGCGACTCGACCATTATGCTCTCCTCGGCGCTGGTCGCCGCGTGGCTTATGGAATCGTTACGGAATCGCAGGATTCGATTCACGTTATCATGACGTTGTGAATGCTAAAGTGATCTGGAAATGCTCTCCGTGAGAGAGTCTCCCCATCTTCGCGGGCGTGTAGCTCAGAAACTTGACGGGCTCAGGTCTGGAGAAGGTCAGGGCTGTGAACTGCACCGAAAGATCATCGAAGTGGATATTTCAGCCCAAAACCTTATACAAATGTGGAATGCTCCTTTAAAGAGGGTGTATTGCCTTACGGAATCATAGTCATGTTTGTCATATCGAAAGCCTCCAGCCATAGCCTCCAGGTACGCTACCACGTACCTCCGCAATCCGAGGTCCCCAGTACAGAACGAGGACCGTCCCTTGGTAAGGAGAGGTCTCTCAACACGTCTCTCGACGTGGCGGGACCTCCCACCATGTCTCTGGTGTTCATAAGGGGTTTTCCAGGGTAAGATATCCTGTGCCTAATCCATTCGCTGCCCATGGGGCTGTGCCCACTTCAAATTTCTAGCCATTTTTAATAAGTTTTACTCATTTGTTGCACACCCATCTGCATTTTGCGGACAATGAAGCTCCATATTATAAAAAAGTCTTCGTGTAGTTCACGCCCAAAACTTACTTGTGTGAATTAATTATTTGAAACGTAGTGTGAGTGGAGCTAATCATGGCTAAAAGAAGTGCAAGAAGCAACACTGGGACACTTTTTATTGTCTACTTGTCTTTTTGAGGTGTCTACCCAGCATGCCGTAAATTTTTTACCCACATCCGTCTCCATACCCTAATTTTCCTAAAATTTGTTCCGAATTCACCGGTTTCTCATTCCTCATGGGTACCTAAGGGCTTACCAAATCCGTAAAGTTATCTGCCTCCCATCACACAAGATTCCTGCCACACTAAAATCACTCTCGCTTATGATGGGTTCTAATGGCGATCAGGTTCCTTTTCAAAACTACTGGAACTGTCGCTTCGTCAGAGCAGAGCCTTCCAAATTAATTTCGCCTAAGAACTATTCAAATTACATGCAGTACTAAGGTGCATGCAAGTTTTAGGACGCGACCATACTGTACGATAATTCCCTGTTCGTCAATCTAACAGTGTTTTACTCAGTCTCTCCAGCTGTCTTAGCCACAAAGCGGACAGCCCCATATCGGCGGCCACCACCGACCCCGTGACGCGCTGACAGCGGTGTGAAAGGTGGGCAGCGACCGGACCGCTACCGGGACGGCTGACAGCGGTGCTGGGAGTGGGCAGCGACCGGACCGCCACCGGGACGCGCTGACTGACAGCGGTGCTGGGAGTGGGCAGCGACCGGACCACCACCGGGACGCGCTGACTGACAGCGGTGCTGGGAGTGGGCAGCGACCGGACCACCACCGGGACGCGCTGACTGACAGCGGTGCTGGGAGTGGGCAGCGACCGGACCACCACCGGGAAGCGGGGATCATTTAGGGCCCTGAAGGCGCCAATGTGGTCACCGTGTGTACCAATGACGCTCATGTCGCGCCAGTCCAGCGGCTCCTAAACCAATGAAACCGATGAAATGTGGGCTTGGTCTCGCCCCCACGAAGTGACCCAGATCATGAAAAGCTACTTTTCATTCAGCTGAGACAGCAGCCATTGGTCATGCCCCGGGCTGAGAAGCAGTACAAGATGAGAGGAAAGACAGAATCAGGTAGGGAGTTCGTGAAATGGCAACGAATCATATGTCGACATAGCATGTTTATATAGACAAATATATATATATATATATATATATATATATATAGATATATATATATATATATATATATAGACAAATGTTTATAGACAAAGCAGGTTAATATTGAACGGCTTGCCTAATTTGGATGTATTTTTACCAGGACAGAAGCTGTCCTGATAGCTGCTACGGTCGAAGGCAACTTTCAGCACATCCATGGACGGCGAGGCGGGTGATGTAAAGCTGAATCGGTTAAGATGAAAGGATATTTTTGCTGGCCTGGGGTGTCTGGCGGCGGTGGCTGGCTCTTTCTGAGCTGCCCTCCCCCTGGCTGTCCAATTCGCGCAGGTAGTCTCCACATCGTGAGGACTCGTCCTGAAACCGCCTGCCCACAGCCAGCTGTTGCGCGCTCCCTCCCCCTCTCCGAGCAGCGTTGTGTTCATGCCGAGATGTGACTAACGTTCTTAATGTGTTTTCATTATGTCTGCATAATCCTGATAATCTTGATAGGAAACTTGATAATCCCGGGCCGAGGGCATGTCGGCCAGTACATCTTGCATTGCTCCCTCACTACCACAGGCCACCTGAGGCGAACGTTAGCGCACTTGTCGACGTCCGCGATCCGGCGACGGGAGATGCATCGCGCAATAGCTACACCTCGTGCAGCATCACGGTGCGTGTACAGACGTTCATAGCCTGCAGTCCCAGTCCAACACACGTTGGACGGCACATCGCGAGCGGTGCCCTGCCCGAACATGGAGCGGAGACTGGTACGCCACGAGCAGCGCCCCTAGCGGCAGGTGCAAGTAGCAGTGTTGCGGCCCACCGGTGGAGGCTTGATATAGGGAGCGCAGGGAAACGCCACCGAAGCAAGGGAGTGAGGTCTAAAGTTCAGATCTTCACAGTGACTGCTGGCATCAAGGACGTAGTCACATCTTGATTGCTATCGCAGTCATGGGCCAGTTTTCTAGGCTCAATCTGCCTCCAAATCCGTATTATGAAGAGACACAAAGAATGGGTCAACCTGGGGTCCGAACCTCAGCGACCTCACTCATGGTTGGGATTGTGGTCGATGTCTCCGTTACCCGTCGCCACAGTATTCTGTGGTCAATAGGTTCACAGCGGCTGATGGAACTACATCTGGTGTTTAGAATGGCGAGCATGTTTTGGGAAAACTGGTCCAGTATCCCCGAGCTTGGATACGGGGATTGGGGCTGTTACAACGACACTCTGTTTTGATTGTTACCCTGTTGACACGAAGTCATAATTCAAGGGGAAATGCTACAAAAACTCATCAAATGATTATTTGGAGCCTCATGTGAAATTCCCTGCTACTTGGCCCCTTTCCATTCTTCCAATACTTATATGATGGCCGTCACTGACTCAAGAACTGGCTGTCATCCGGTAATGCAATTGAAAGCATTTTACTTGTCACTTCATTCGTTGTCTGGAAATCTGTCGTTCATACTTTTCTTGCAGGATCATACAGTGGCCTGAACTGACCTTGTTTCTGGATCCATCGCCTGACTTCTGCGATTCTGATATTCTGGTGTGGCCTTACTCAGTTATCAATCACTGGTCTATTCGGA